GTCAGTGAAATGACTTGTAGTACTTGATCCTCCTGATCTTGTTCTTCTAATAGATTTCTGGCAGGCTGTGTACCACAAGGCCTAATGCTGCCCTCCACAGGAAGCGGGGACAAGGATTTCTATCAGGCAAAGATTAATGCAGTCATCTAGATGACCTTTTATGCAGGTCATTTGGGCATTAACTTTGCTGCCCCTTGTAATAAGTAGGAAAATCTTCTTTTTTTTTTTTGACAAAAAAATAGACTTGAAAGAAAAAGGCGAGAGTCCCAAATATTTTAGCCCTTTGAATAATGATAATAATCTGCCAAACCATCTTTGTTATCACACTGACATAGGCCATCTGGATGTTTACCTAAGATTTACAAACAGCTGGTTAAACCACAATGTCCAAGACGTTATGTAACAAATTAATAAAAATGTGCTTTAATGTATTTGAATTGTTTTTTTGATGGATAACACAAACAACTGTAAGAGATGTGACACTTCCGATCATTTAAAACCGTAGTGCGCATGTGTATAAGGGCTGTAATTAAAGTTAAAAAACCCTCTTTGTTTTTGCTTTGCCTATTTTCCACTTGGATGGCATAAGATGAAGGTAAATCTTTTCTTGTCCTACTGTCGCCATAAACATCTACGTTTGTATTTAGCTCCATATCCATGCCATTTCCACTGTTCTGCATATGTCTCAGAAGCACACATCCTGTCCAGATGTGTGTGGGTTCATGAGCAGCCACCATCCTACACTATGTCCACTCCATGAGTCTTGTGGAATAGTTGGATTGAATAAATAAATAAATATAACGCACATTTCTTTTTTTCTGCTTTACCTCACATTTCCTTGTGGGATTATGGCGCTTTGTGCTACACTTTATTTACTGACAGTTTCTGTTTTCTATATTGATTTTAGTTTTTATGTTTTCTGTTTATCAGTTTTATAATACTTCAAGTTCTACTCCACCTGTAGATCCATGCAAAACTGTTTTTACACTCTGCAAGAAAGTGTACTCATCGCTACATAGAACCCCTCACACATGCTACAGAATGTTGTCTGTCTTCTACGTGTTTGCAAGCAGAACAAAGCAGAGCTAAAGTGTGTTTCCACCTCTGACTTTTGCTGTGTTTCCCTATAGGCCGAGTATTTGCTAACACCGAGGACTCCTGCTGTCTGCTGGGGATGCGTCGCAGGGCTCTGGTCTTCCACCCTGTTGTACAGCTGAAGGAGGAGACTGACTTTGTGTATGTATCACACACACCGAACTTAAAACCACTATGAAATGGACGTTACAATGTGTTTTGCTACTTTGCGATATAGCACTCTCAGTGATACGTAAGCTAAAGGCATACAAACTAACACTAAGTGCAGGGTTAAGTTCTTGCCACACTGACACTGTTTGGATGAATGTTTTCAGTTCAAAATGATTCATCAGTAATATTTTACAGGAAGAGACAACACATAGGTTTTGATTTTAAAAGGAGAAAAGTAAATAGCATTTAAGTAATTTATTCAAGCTATAATATCATGTTCTTTAGTCCTTACCTCTGAACTGTGCCCTCTTTTTTTTTTTTGAAACCAATTAAAGGAATAGTCAGCGATTGTAAGAGTTTACACATTTTGTCATATTCGGTTAAATTTTCCATACATTCCTCTGCCTGGCTTTTTTGTTTGTGTGCTCCAAAACCCCCAGGTGGGCACGTGCTGTGCTCGCTCTGTAAAAGGCAAAAAAAGGATCGGAGGTGGGCCGGCTAATTTCAGCCAATCAGCACAAGGTGGCATTCTTGCTACTGTGCATACTTGTGCATGGCATAGTGTGTGTGCTGAGGGTGGGGGGGTCAGTTTGGAAAATTCACAAGATTACTGCAGCTGAAGGGGTGAGATGCCTGAAAAAGCACCAGTTCTATACAACTAAACAACCCAGGCAGAGAGAGACAGAAGCAACAGACTGTAAAGTTAATCAGGCAAGGTCAGAGACCCATGCAAATGTAGCTGAAAAACTGAAAATCGTTATGGGCACTATAATGTTGTTCAATTAAGTAGGCTAATCTTTGTGGTAATGTTTTGTTAGCAAATACCTGTGTCACATTAGCCTGTTTGCTAAATCAGCTTTCCTGGGACATTCAGCTAAATTTCTGGTCTGCAAATGTATGTGGATGTTCTGACTTATAGCAGAATAACAGTGGAGTCTGTAGCTGGTTCTCCACACGTTGTGCCTCAACGTGCTAGTTTTCTGATGTTTTCTGTGGAATGAGCTTTTCCTCCAGTCACTAGTATTGTTGCTGTGGTAGTCCGTATTCATGAATTGTGAGTGACGTAGTTGGGAGATCCCAACTTAAACGACTTGTGGATTTGTGCACATGGTGATCAAAATGTAAACTCTATTACTAGAATCGCTGACTATACCTTTAACTGAGAAAATAACTGTAGTAGCCCTAATATAGGTCATTTATCCAAATACCAGTTTGATCATTCAAAGTCGATCTTGTATCAAATATCTAGGTGTTCTAGATGGGAACTGATCTTTTCACAGCTCCCCAGTGATAAGGAACTATTAGCTCTATGCAGCATGTGACCATCAAATTAATATCAGCGTTAAGACTTCTATCAAGGTGTTTTTTTTTTCATAAAAAAAACTTGAGCACAGAGCTGAAGTTTCCTTGTCTTTCTGCAGCCACAGGATCCCTAAGGAGCAGTGGTGGCTGAAGCTGCGTCCCCTTATGAAGATCCTTGCCAAGTACAAGACAAGTTATGATGTCTCAGACTCTGGACAGCTGGAGCACGTTGTCCACAACCTACCTAAAGAGTCAGATGCTTCAGTTGCCATGTAAAGGCCTGGACTCTTTGACAGCCATTGAAGTCCAGTTTGTGTGTGAGAGTGAAGGTCTGTGAGGTGTGTTGTAAAAGTGGTTAACAACATACTGTGTCATTTCTCTGAGTGTCAGCCTGTCCAGCTCTCCTAACATCAAACCCCCCCCCACGTACTCTCGCACATAGACACAGATGTCTTGCCATACATTGACTGTCCTTGTTGCCATGGATTGTTAGTATTAGAACTGGTAATTTAGTTTTCAAATTGCACTTTCTTTCTCCAGCTGCTTAGACAAACTCTGAGTCCAGAGCTGCACAAGACCAGAATAGACACCTGCTGTAAACACTAGTGTCTGTATCTGCCTAGAACCAGTGTGAGGTTCAGCATATTTGAGACTGATGCAGTACAGTTTTTCTGCTGCAAGCAAGAGATCTGCTTGCTCTTCTTCACTCTTAAATGAATATTTATCTTTTTAACATTCCTAATTATTTTGCTTGTAAACAAGGATACGTTAGTAACTGTACTGTAGGCACTGCTGTGAGTAGCTGTCCGTCATATTGTGCCAAGATAGATGTTAAAGACTAATGGAATAAAAATGTCATGAAGTGTACCCTGTTAATGAGTGTCAGTGGACTTATTTTAAAAAAATAGCATCCAATTTGCTCTTCTTATTTCCCTTTAAGTTGTAAGGATCCATATTCCACACTGTCTGGCAGCATCATAGATCCTTTATTGCAGTGTTCTAGATCTGTGTTGAAGCTGTATGAGTGAATTATTTAAACCCAAGACTCTGGTTTTATGGCTTAACCATTTTGTCTAAAGGACATAGTCTCGATTTTTTTTGTACAAAGTTCTGCCTGAATTACTTGGTATGTGTTGAAAGTCTGGCTTTTTACATGGGTTTGCCTGCGAGTGTATCATCTGATCCGTCCATGTTAGTGGGTTAAAAAAAGCTCTGGTGGGTTATTGTACCAGCACTCAAGTTGCTTTACTATAAGCACAGCAGAGAATTCCATACAGGGAATAAAAAAAAATGTACTTGTATAAATCTTTAAAATTTACATAGAATGAAGACGAATAAGGGAAAGTGCTCAGGTAGTTATGTAAAACAAGGAGCTGTTCTTCCAGAACATCACTACCTGCCATTTTCAGATGCTGGAGGTACTAAAGGCAGATCATTTCTGTAATGGTCATCTTCTCAGAATCCTAGGGTGTCAGGAATTGGGGCTGGATATGGGGGTACATCCTTACTGGAATTGAGAAAAGGCTTAAGAATACCTCTGTCGTGGATCAGAGTTGACAAACTGTTTAAAAAAAAAAAAAAAAATCCAACAAAAAGACTCCCAGCCTCTGAACTGTTGCTGGCATAAAATCCAGCAGATGGCAGCGCAGTGCTGTAACATCCTCAGAGTCAGGGCCCATTATGACACCTACAATATTCATCACTTGCTGTCCAGTTCTGCTCTTTACAGTTTCAGTGCATTATGGCTTATTACTAAAGTGTATGAGCACTCTGAGGCCTACTGTGATTGTAATTGTGTCTGTAGCCATAATTAGGAATTAGTCTTATCATTTGAAAGAAAATTTCCATTTCCCATGGATGTATTAATTTTATATACAGATAACTGGGCTGCTTTTTACAGGGCCTCTCTTCTGTTTGAATTTAAAGTAATTACATATGGCTGCTTAGTGAAGGTGCAGTGACCTGAAATGTAATTTGAAGGAAAAGCTACATGAATCACCATTACTCCTCACACACCCTCCTACAGTAATTATCATCCTTAACCTAAACTGGCAGTGTGGTTACTTCCGCCTCACGCCCACGATTCTGCACAAAAAGACGCCTCGTTTCCCTTTGCTGTCATCTCCTCTGACCCCAGTGGGTGCATGGTTTATGTTGCTGGCTACTTCTGTAAGCATGAAATTAGTAAATTGGATCATTTGGGTGGATTTAAAAATGCAAGAGGAGACTGCAGGGTCATGTGCACACAGGTAATCAATAGCAATTACCATTTCATTTCTACCCCCCATTTTCTTCCAGAATTGCATGTGAATCTGATCTCATTTGACTGATTAAAGGTTGCAAATGAAGGCTCCTCAATCTCTGATCCTCATCAAAGGCCAACCACCTGCATGGTAACTTTGTCTCCATTTAATTCTCCATTGTCTTCAGACAGGGCCCCAATTATAAACTTGCAGTGAATCTCCAAAATAGCTTTTGCGCATTGACCTGTTTAAATTAAATGCACACTCTCTCTTTTCTCATGCAGTCCCATACTCTCCAATTTCACTTCTAATGGCCCTCGGTGGTTGGAATTTGTAGTGCTGTAATAACTAGTGAAGAGCACTGATGCTACAATAGATCACTATAAAGGCTTTGTGATAACAATAGCACTGAGAGCCAATAAATCCTGGTTGGCTGAAATTGAAAAAGCAATATATATTTTTTTCCCCCCCCCAATTGAATCACATATATGTCATTCAGAACGAATATTTATGAATAGATAAATCCATGCAAAAATAAATGAGCACATAATATATTCCCAAAGAGATGAAAAAGCACAGCAGAAGTTATAGATTTCAGTTATGAATACTGCAGCCTCTAATGGCTGCTTAGAAAATAATCAATCAATCAAAACTTCATTTATATAGCACCTTTCATACAAAATAACGCAATTCAAGCTGCTTAAAAGATGACAGCAGATGAGCAGAAGTGAATCACAGGGCCTGTTTCCAGACACTGGATGAGGGATTGAATCCATCTTGCTCACACACTGGTTTAAAACCTGTTCAGTGAGTTCTATTTAGGCTTCCCACAGTCCAGCATACTCATCTGACAATCTTCTTTTGACAATTAAGACAACCATAGAGGCGGAAAACTCTCAATTCCATTAGCCTCTGTGCTGTCTCACTCTGTCTGTCCACTGAGCCTTGGCTTACTTATTAGTGTAGCTCTGCTGTATTTTGTTAAGGATGCGATTAGTGAGATCTACATAAAAAGACGATTTCCCTCTTCTTTCCTTTCCCTTCACTCTCTCACACTTCATTGAGATCAGACAGATCTAAAGAATGGCATTTGCAGACTAATGAAATTTGCTCCGCATCATTTCCAGTGTTAATCTTTGGCTTTAAGTGACTCGTGTCTTTATTTACTCATTTCTGTGGGACAAATATTTAGAGGTGGCTAAAATTACATCACTGCTGGTGTGTCCCTCTATTTAACCTAAGGCTGGGAGCATCAGCTGGCAGTTGGCTTAGAGGCTGCAGCTCCACTTTGATGTATTGGACTTAATATCTTCTTGACAGTTCTCAGGACAGATTTTTATCACTGGATTCATTTGTACTTTTGAAGCGGAGTCAGAACATTCATTTTCCTCCCATTGCCTTTCACCTCTGTGAAGAAACGCTGTGTGTGAATACATGTAGGTGTGTAAATATGTATCTACTCTTGAGATGCTGAGGTGTGAGTCTTTGTATTAGGTCAGTTAAGCATGTGTGTGTGCATTCCTTTGTGATTGCACATCTAGCCCCAGAGCTGAGTGAGCGTACTTGTGACACGAGATAGACGGTGGGATTAATGGAACTGACATTAATTTGACAGAGTGCTCACTAACATGCAAAGTCACTTGCAGTTCATAAAAATAATATTAACTCGGCATTAACATGCAGGGCTGTCTGTTGCACCAGATGCAGTGTTATGGAGAGTGCTTGCTGCGGCTTGTCTTTCTGGACTACAAGTGTATCATGGTTGTAGGAGTATGTCAAGAAAAATCTTGTTCTTGCTATATGTATATCATAGTAGTGCTGAACTTCTCTGCTGTGGCTTCAGGGAGACACTACAGCGCAGCCATCATTCAGCCGCTTTCTCAAAATAGCTAAAAGTAAAGCAGACGGTGTGAAGGTTATGGTTTAGGGAGCAGGTTTAGACATAAAACCTGTTCATTACTGCACACTGCTTTTTCAGCCTGATGAATTGCTACCATGCCCTTGAGCACTGCAGCACACACACACACACACACATAACAGGTATAGCTAGTGGGAATGCTGAGGGGTATTTAGCCCTGGTTATTAATAGTAATCAAAAGCCACTTTACCTGATAGGAACTGCAGGGGTTGTCTACCAACTATTGAGACCCTCTCTACCAATACCAGGCTTAAACAAGGTAGCACTAATAGATACTATGAAGGTGATGAAGAGATACAGGTGAGAGTGCTAATTCATAGAAAAGCAAACGAGGGATTATTCACTCACTGATCTATAATAGGTTGCAAAGACTGTGTCTGGACATGGACAAACACATAAAACATTAATACACAACACAGTGAGAGAGAATATGCGTTGCTCTATTAAAGGGGCGATGAAGCATAGATAGTATATAGAATGGAACACATCCTCAGAAAAGAAGCCAATAAGGCCAATTTGGGTGTCCGTTTTTGATAATTATCTGTTTATTGTGAAATGACATGTATAATGAGAAAGAACAATGGAGCAGAGTTTACCGGTCACACACTTAGACTTAGCTCAGACTGGGTTTAATTTGCTGATGTGTTTGTATTGTAGTCACAGAAGCCGCCGCTTGTAAAGAACAAAATGAGGAACATAGATGTGTCAGTTCAAGATGACCCAAAGTTTGAACATTCACAGAAATGACAAACATTTAGGTTTTAGCTTCTCTGTTCTATCAAAGACTGCGCTAACATGTTTGTGTTAGCTGAGCAGTTTTCTTTTTATACAGAGCTGGGTAAGATTAGTTTCTTCTGTGTCTCAATGTTATAATAATCCATAATGACAAGTCTACTGACTTTATAGTACATGGATTTGTCATAAATTCACCAATTAAATATAAAATAGGGTTTACTTTTTGACATCTTTAACAAGGTGTCACCTAAATTAGGAGATATGATTACATTGCTCTTAAACCTCAGACTACTGATTGACCTCTAGGGAATTACTGCACAAGTGATAACTATGTACATTGTGGTAGTAAGAGCAATAGTAAAATCTTCTTTCACCTGCTTACTGGCAAAAAAAAAAAAAAAAAAAAATTCATATCAAAGTTTTATAACACTACCAGTGTTATTTATATGCTCAGATGCCCTTGTGGCCTGGTTTATATGGGCCAAACAAAAAGCTCTACAGTTAAGTATTGCAGAACATAAGGCAGCCCGTCAGCAGAAAGAAGACGATGCTATAGCCTGTCACTACAAGAAAGCAAATCATGGATCAGTAGCTACATTATGGTTCACTGCTACTGAATATGTTAGTCCTTCTCCTACAGGTGGAGACATTATATCCAGAATCAAGCAAGGAGAAGCCTGCTGGATATATTTGATCCACAGTCGAAATAAGTTGGTTTATGACTTTTCTTTGTAATCTTTGACAATGTTTTTGTGTCTAAATAAAAAGAGTTCAACTAAATATACATTAGTCACAACTGAAGTTTTCATTTTATGAAATCTTCATGCTGTTTAGAGTATGTCTCAGAGTTTCTTCTTCATCATATGGCCATAATACTGACGGTGGCTTTACCATAATGAAATTTAATATTTAATGTTCTCTGAGTTTGTCATGCCTATTATGTGTGTTAGAGATTATATATTTGTTATTAATCCCCATAT